TTGGAGGTAATCGTTATGAAGCGCTGCAATGATGAGGTACATGTCCAACCCAAAGGTTAGCATCACCCGAGACCACCATTAAGCTTCCGACAACTCTTTGTTTTTATTTATTTTTCTAAATCTTGAAAGTTTGAGTTAGAAGAGTTTGCAAGAGAGTGATTTTAAACACAATATTAAGGCTGTAAAAGCAGATTAGTAGTAGATGAGTTAGTTTACTTGTTCAGAGTGATGATGTTTAACGTACCTGACAACCTTTGTTGTCCAATTTAGCCACTACTATTTGCCTTTTTCAAGACAAGGAAAAGCTTTTAAAAGAAAATCACAAAGGGGTATTACTGATGTATTTTATGTCGTAGACTAAAAAGTGAAAATATTTTGAGCTTGTGTTAAACACAGACCTTATTTCTGATTTAACCATTGACTTCCGGACGATGGAACCTGAAGTGCTAAAATGCTAATTAATTTCTGTTTTTTGGCCTAAAAAATACTAATTCCTGCAGCGCTCTATTAGTTGCTGCTTGTTTGCAGTGTTTTCATATCCTACACTGCAAAAAATTATCCGGTAAAAAAACGGTAAACTACTGGCTGCTGTGGTAAATACAGTATACAGTGTGTTACTGTTTTTGAAATTAACAGCTCAATAATTAACCGTATTATCAGCTAGAGTAAAACTTTAAAAGAACAGCTATATGCTCCAACACAAAAACAGTAACACACCGTATAGTTACAGTATGATGCTGGCAACCAAAGCAGCCAGTAGTTTACCGTTTTTTTTTTTTACAGGATTATTTTTTACAGTGAGAGCTGCTGTTAAAATGTGATCTGAAGCCCTTTTGTGATTTTACCTGTTAAAGGCACCACGCACTACAGGATAGTGTGATAGGCTGATTTTGGGCCAAAAGGTCACGATTATCTTGATGGTTCTACAGATTATCTTATCAAATATTCCTGTGGCGTGAGGTGTGTTAAGTGTGATTAAATCTGGGACGAACGTCGGGGCTGCACTGATCTCAAATCATAAATATCCTCCATGTTAAATATTTACAATTTGAATTTCTGTTGTGTGGGGGAAAAGACAAACACACATACACACTCTGTAGATTGTCACGTGAAACGAAACAATACCCAATCAGAAAGCGAGCAGAAAGAAGATTGAAGCATAACACAACATCATCCAACCCCAATTAGTTTTTTCGTGAATTTTCTGTAAAAAGCAGTCCAAGGCAGCACTATCAACATTTCTTCTTACCTGTTGTCCGCCATGTTTGTTTAAGCCACGTTTGACCGTGAGAGATTTTGCGAGATGTTCACAGATGGGAATATGTGTGGTGTGCATTCCTGGTCACATCGCAGCACTCCACACACCAGGAACAAAACTGTTAAATCTATAATTTTTACACATTTTGAAAATCTGATAAGATCTTTTAATGAGGGTCGCCAGCCTTTAGCCGCAGCAAAATTGAGGGTTTACCTCAGTGTTGTTTGAATCACAACTGGCATATGTATGAAACATATTTGAATAATAATTTCCATTTCTATACTAATAGACAAGGTTTGCTGTTTTTTGGCCAATTTAAGGATTGAGCACATTTCAAAACTGACAGATTAACATTCTGAATTAAACTGCTGACAATTGGCTAAATCACTGTCATCACAATCCCTAGTACCAACCATCCATAGTAAATGAAACATCTGAACACAATCCTTCTCCGGCAGTTTTTCCAAATGTGCAGCCAATCCCACTTGAATTCACAGAAAACCAGCCGCCCTGGTCTTGTTTTCTGCGATGACAAAAGCAAATGGATTTCTGCCAAAATGTCAATTTTAAACTGAGGAGAGATCAGAATTTCGACCACAGTGAAAACAAAGTGGCTGTAAAAAAAAAAAATGAAACTGCCCTCCTTCCCCTGTAGCTCACTGCCAAAAGGTGTTCTTGTTCTGATATTTGGTTTGGAAGGGCTGCCAAAAATTAGATATGTCCTTGGATATCTCCCTCTTTCCTTTGTCTCCTGTCAGGACTTGGCTGTCCTCCAAGGCAACTAGCCATAGCCAGGAACAGAGGGAGCTCCATTCACACACATAAACATCACTTTGGATTTATCCTTTACTCAAATACTGTGGTTCTTTTGTGTAATCGTATACTCAGTATACAGATACAATAGGTTTTCTGGAATCTTTTTGTGGGCAAGCACTGCATAAGTAGATGTGTTAGTGTTTTGATAAATGGATCGGTCTCCTTATTTAACCTGGGTTTTTCCATTGGCCTTCTATAAAACGAGAATGTGAAGACTTATGAAGACTTAGAGCAGTTTCTCTTCCATTTTTAACTATACAGTGATACTCATAGCCAGAACTACTGCACTCAAATCAACATTTTGTACTAAAACTCTGTACAACCCCCATTTCTGATTCTGAGTGACCACAGACCTTCAATTCAGTTCAACCATTTCATAAGGCCTCAGCGAGGAAAAAGATTCAACCAAAGCTTCTGACCAAACTCTGACGCAACCAAAGCATTGATTTAGGCTAAATGCCATAATCCTCTTCAGAAGTTCAATTTTCGAGCATAAATACTAAAAGCATGTCTCTATGCATTTGAAAATTAAATAAATTCAGTATTCAGTAAATAAACCTGTATGATTTTCTGCACTGGTAAATAAAATTATACAATTTGAAGAATGCTGGTAACTAACCAGATATGGTTACCAATGATTTCCATTGCAATGTTTCGACAAAAAATAGGCCTATTGAGACTTCTTTTGTAAGTAGGCACTCAGAATTAAAATTGTAGGGCAATCTATCCCTTTAAGGTGTGATATTCAAAACATATAATTTGTCTTGCATCCTCAAATGGCAACATGACATCACGACTTTTGCGTAAACATATACGCCACTTTCAAGTCAGGTGGCGTGTTATCTCCACGCATTTTGTGCTATCCGCGTGTATCCGCGTGTATGCGTATATGTCTACGCCATTAACGTCCGCGTCATTCCGCGTGTCTGAACACGCAGTCAAATCTCCAGTGATAAATGCCATTAACCCCAGTGACGGTTAAGTTTAGGGATGGGGTTGAGGTAAGTCATATATTTATATAACGTTAAGTCAACGCGTTCATAAACACGCTGAAAGGCGATTATGCGTCTTGATAGCACGCCAAAAATGGAAATACGAATTGGCGTCTCATTCACACGCTACTTCATGAGATCAGTCTGCAAATGGTATTGGTTTCATAGAATTCGGCATTAAACAACTTCTTCCCTATTGTAAAAACAAAAATATCAGAGAACCTGCTGAATCATAAAAAAACATAGTGCTGGGATTTAATTTTGTCCATAACAAGGGAATTGATTGGACTGTTGTCAGTTGCTAATTGCTGGGATCTCAAATGAGCGACAGGTTTATGGAGGTGATGGACTATTTTTGCACGTTATCAGAGAAAGTATAGATGTCGTAGTTAAAGTTATTCTGATTAAAGATTACAAGAGCAAAAAGATAAAAAAAATAATGATGATCACTTATAATAAACACTAAAATATTACATATAAAAATAGGATTTGTCCATTTTGATGTTGTGGTGACTTTAATTTCCCCTAGAGAACATTCTGGCTCTATCCAAAAATCGCATACTTCCCTACTCTATAGTAGGCGAAAAACGGCATGTGACAAAAGTAAAAGAATGGGCAAAAAGAACCCGAACGCTCTACTTCTTCCGGCGAGATTCTGAAGTATTCTTACTATACACAGTTTACATGAGGCCACGGGAAAGGATTTGTGAATGGAGGTGAAGGTGCTACTGATCCTGGAAGGTCACATGATGATGACAACATGGTGGACGTAGTAAATCCAGATTACATTCTACACACATTTTTTAGTGGTCGTGAAGTTACTTATTCAGAATAAGTACCTATTCAAGAGTACGTGATTTTGGACACAGCCCATGTTTCAAGTCAAAGATGCTGAGAAAACCCACCAGATCGCCTTGGCATAGCTCCTCCCCTTTCTGCAATTAAGCAAGGATTTCAGCCAATCAAATGAGGGCCAGTGTACTGATCAAAGCTCAGATAGGCTAAGTATGAAGAACATTAATAAATACAGCAATCCCTCTTAAATTCAGGTTCTGAATAATATCTGATCTTGGTAAATGTCAGCAAAGGTTAATTTACCCATGCAACCTCATGACAGATCAGATAGGAAACCAAACACTTAGATCAACAGTTTCATCATTGCTACCCATTACACACAAAACGCGGATGTGTCTCAAAACCTAGTGAGACTCCTACTTGACAGGACCTTTAGGCAGCACAGGAAATTCAAATGCCCACAAACGCTGTCTAGGTAGGCAGCTCGCAAGGTTTTGAGACACATGCAGTCTTTAATGAGTAAGAACACAAGTGACATGGAAAGCAAGCCTACACAGTGGCGTATAGTGGAAATTACTATAGGCGCTTGACAGTGCAAACACACGCCTACTCTCTATCAGCGGGAAACTGATGCATGGCCACGATTACAGTAAATTACGCTGAATAATATCTCTTCAGCGTTAGAATACAACTATATGTATAGATCAAAATCACTCATTTGATACATCTCCCACTGTCGCAAATGCTGCTGTCCTTCGGGGTGAGTTAAATAAACATTCACCTTCTCTGTAACTTACTCTGTTACCCAACAATGATTTCCATAAGTAGCCTACTGTTGAATATGTTGGTTACCGGGGTCAAATTAAACCAATATACTAGAGTATGCCATGTAACGTTAAAGGCAGACAAGCGATAGTCCACTTTTTTTTCTCCAGGTTAAAATGGAGCTCTGCAGTTTTTAAGTGCGTTACCCAATTCAAAACAACCCCATCGTTTTGGGGTTTTTTTTTAAATCATTTTAGTTCAATTACAGCAGTAATTCCACAGAAACGTAAATAAATAGGTTTATAATAAAAAAAACTGCACGTTGAAGTGTGATGGTTTAAGGAGCAACATAGCCATAGGTAACTTAAACTCACCCATTTTTGAAGCTGCTGCTGCTCAAGTCTACGAGAGTAAATCCATACACTAGATTATGACAAGCACTTTACAATCCCTCAAACTCAAGCAAACGGCTTTTTATCGCTTTAAAATGGCGTCAGTCGCAATCTCGGGTGAGATTTGTTTTTTAACATCAGAAAAACACACATGAAGAGTGTTGCATTCGCGGTCGATCAGTGGAGTGCGTCTGCAGATTCAGATGAAGTGTGGATTGAAGCGGGAATATGGTGTACAGCCACAGTCACAGCGCTGCATTGCTTCCCTCTCAAATCATCAGACTCGGGGGTGGATCGAGCCTTCCCACTGCGGAGAAAACAAATCTGCTCTTATGATCCTTAATAATTTCCAAAGTCCTGCAATAGATGACACGCCGGACCCGAGCGCTCGTGCAGGGCGAATATCCAGGGATATGCAGACTCTGGCGTTTCCGATTGTGGACGTGTTTGATCGGAGTTAAGCGAGTGTGATGTGACTCTTGTTAGACTCCCGCAGTAGTTTTTGATAATGATCGGTGTGTTCAGCTCTCAGCAAATGCCCTGACTTGCCCTGCTGATTGCTCTACAGCGCCTTCTACCTGTAGCGAAAAGTATATTTTTATTTATTTATTCTGTTTGCCTGTAGCACAACATTTATTTGTTTTTTTAATCACAAACGTCTATGAATGAATGATTAATTATTATTAATTAATTATTGATGCTTTTTTTTTTCTTTTTTTGGAGCTCAAAATATATATACTAATTTATTTGAATTTATCTATAGGGCAAAATGTGGATTCATTTATTGTATCTGTTTAGTCCAAAATATTTATTTATTTATTTATTTATTTATGCTTGTAACTCAAAATGTTTTCTTTGTATTTATTTATTTGTATTGTAAAAGGTTAATAAATAATTCTGTTTGCTTGTATCTTAAAATATGCATATTTTTTATGTTTGCTTGTACTATAAAATTATTGTTTATTTATTTATTTGTTTATTTATTTATTTATTTAGTGATTTTAATTTTTCTAAATTCTCCCTGCTTGTAGCTCAGATTATGGATTTATTCAATTTTATCTGTTTGCTTGTAGCGTAAAATATATATTTATTTATTTATTTATTTATATATGTTTGCTTGTTTATTTTTGAGGTTTCAAATATTTATTAATGACTGAACTTATTGTTTTTATGTTTCCTTGTATCTTAAAACATGTATAATTTTATCTGCTTGTACCACAAAACATTATTTATTTATTTATTTGTATTGTAAAAGGTTAATTAACTAATTCATTCTGTTTGCTTGTATCTCAAAATATGCATATTTTTATGTTTGCTTGTACCATAAAATTAATGTTTTTTATTTCTTTGTTTATTTCTTTATTTAGTGAATATAATTTTTCTAACTTCTGCCTGCTTGTAGCTCAAATTATGGATTTATTCATTTTAATCTGTTTCCTTGTAGCGTAAAATATGTATTTATTTATATATGTTTGCTTGTTTATTTTTTTGGTGTAAAATATTTATTAATGACTGCACTTATTGTTTGTTTCCTTCTATCTTAAAACATGTATAATCTGTTTGCTTGTACCATGAAACTTTATTTATTTATTTAAGGATAAAAAGTCCTTATTTCTATTGTACATTTTTCTGTTAAGGTATTTTTTATCTTTAGCTACTATCATATAAGTAGCCTATTGTCCTTGACATTTTCATTGTTGTTTTCTTTATGTTTCAGCAAATACTAATTGATTTTCAACATCCATCCATTTGCTATAACTTGTTCATCTTTATAATCAATGAGCAAATTCATTATAGGCTATATCATGCAATCCAAATTGTTATAGATTAAGCAGATTACATGCACCGTTTTAATTTTATTCTTTTCTCTAAAAGCGACTATATTTGCAAACCTGCATTTACTTGCCAACTTGCATATAAAAGTAAATAGTAGCAAATACTAAGGCTATATTTGATTTAAAGACAGCATTTTTAGTTGTGAAGTGAACTGTCATCACCCCCACGTTATTCACCTCTTTTGGCCTTTAGACAGGATGGGTGTTTATATCTGAGCTGTGTATTGATTGAGAGAGAATGTAATGACGCTCTGAGACCTCTTCAATATAGAGGTCAACATCTGCTCCCTTGATGGCCAATCATTGTCTCAACTGTGTTAGTAAATAGTTCTCATTGGTCAACCTTGAAAATCAATAACGCTACCGATTATTCAAAGAGATTCAATTCAAGGTTGCCATGGATACCACATGTAAAGAGTTTAGAGGTTTGTGTGATGTGCATATGGACTCACATGAACAAGCATGAAAACAGGTCTCAGTGCATCCGCTTGTCGGATAAAGTGTTAAATGGTTATTTCACCCAAAAACTGAATCATAAGAGTTTCCATAGTTGGACAAACTCACCCTCTAAATTGTATTTACCACTGGAAAGCTCTGGGATTATTTTAAGATGAACCAATGACTGCGTTTGCATTGAAGACTTCAGTGTCAGTGATTTGTGATGTCTGTTTTCGTCCAACCAGTGTTTTTAGACCATGTGAAATACACAAGATAGTTCATCATGAGCGTAAGTACAAGTTCAGTTGTGAGATGCATGCCTGTTACCTTACAGATAATTTGTTTAAGGTGCATTGCGCAAGTCTCTGAGTTTTTGCAGAACTATGCCCCCTCTGGCGACAAGCGAAACTGCAACCAGAGGTGTACACGCTCATGGACCACACGCACTCTTGCACGAGCTGTTCATAACCAAAGGAGCATCAGCTGCACAAATCTTTTGTTTACAGTCATAATGTCTTCAGAGGCAATAAAGTTATAAATCTGCAAGTCATTTTAAATATATGAAGGCATTTGAGTAAATTACACACTTATGAGTGAGGGGAAAACGGGGGCAGTAGAAAACTTTCTCCATGTTGAACTGTTTTATGTGTTTACTGTATCCACTTATGATTGTATTATTATGAAAACACGTTCATGAACAATATAAGTTATTACTTTGTATAGGATCCCATTTGAGCCCTAGAGCAGACCAGAGATCTCTCCATTTGTTGAAAGCCTTACCGATGTTGACTCTCGTCTTATTCCGACGCCTGGCACTATAGACAAAAGTTTAATTTTCTTTGTCTTACGTAGAGTTTGCATTGGGGTTTGGAATGAACTGCCGGTCTCTTTGAATCCATCTCCTACTTTTGTAGAAAGTTGACTAAAGTTTTGTCACTCGAGTTGTCTTCGCTGATACGGAGAATGATGGCGAATACACAAACCTGCAGAGATAGCCAGGTGAGCGTGAACGCGCATGGCGTCATGCCCAGTCTCAAATTCCGTTACGAATCCCTATAATTTATTTGACTGTACAGGATTATAGAGGCAATTGCATTGATCAGAGAAGGGCTCATTCAGCCCATCAGGCAATTGACCTATCGCTAAGCCACGCCCTCAAACGCGATGAGCCAATCACAGGGCGCAGCTAACCCAAAACACATAAATGACCTGGAGTGGTCACTTGCCATTATTAAAATGTAAGTGCATTGAGTAGATGTCACCTAATAGATGTAAATGCATAGACATTGCCTAATTTATTGTTTTCTATACCAATTTACCACTGTTTCCTCTTTATTTTTTTGTGCAGCTGTGGTAGGCTACTTTTGAGTGACGATTCCTCATTTGTCTTTTATCTGTCCATGTTTGGGCCTAGGTTATGAATCAAGACAACGTTCTTCCCAGCAAACAAATTAAGGTTCTTGGAATGTTAGTTTTTGGTTCCCAGAATGTTCCTATAACTTTCCCTTAAGGTTAAGGGAACGTTCCTGGAACATTCTCCTTACGTTATAAAAATGGAACCTAAAAATAACCTACATGGAACTTTCCTATAATGTTTTCGTTTGGTTCCCAAAAAAATAACCTCATGGAACCATTCGGGAACATTAGGGGAACGTTCTGTGTAGTGCTAAAATTATTTTATTCATCATAATATAATAATAACTTCCACAATAGACTATGCTTTGTTTTAGTCAACAAGTGTTTCTTTTAATTTCACATTTTTATTGCTGTGGTGCAGTGGCGTGGGTTTGATTTTAAAATTGGTGGGTGGCACACCGTTACTAAAATGAACACACCTAAAATTTAGTATATATATAATATAATGTTATATGATATAATGTTTTACACATGAAACCGTCTCTTCTTTTGTCAAAAGGTGTGGTAAACTGGAACACATGTTTAGAGGAGAATGGAAGGACCTAACAGAACTCTGTATCTAATATCCTGTTCAATGCAATTCTCTCTACAAAGACTGTGAAGCCTAGGGAATGTGGACAGAGGGGAAAACTACTAGAATTAGATTATACTGTTTTTATGTGGCTGGGGGCATTTTCTGAGATCTGATTTTCTATTGGATGTAATGCTGCAGCAGTAACCCAGAACAGACAAAATTAGTGCTAGAACATATTAGATTAGTTTGCATATAAACCCTTGAGTGTTGCCTTTCAATTAAAAGATTTTGTTATTTGTGTGCTTGTTGTTCATTTGACTTAAAGATCTATCATAAGATTTGTTTGTCAGCAGTGCATTTAGCTGTTAGCGCCATTGATATCAGTCCAATTTTTTAATCATCAGCAAATCAGGCATTCAATAAGACATCAAATGATGTTTAAAATTATTTATTTGTATTAAAATATATATATATATATATATAGAAATAAAGGCCAATTCCAAAAGTATATATTAGTGTTTGCTCCACACTTGAGGTAGGACGAATAATTGATAAAACAATACATTGCAATATGTTTTTTTTTTTTTTTTGCAATACATTATCAGTAGGCCTACCCCAACTCTTCATTTACTGCTACAAACTGATAACGGTCAGATAAGTATGATTTAAACCATGCTAGTGCAATTCCACTGATGCCAATAGTTTTCTAGTCTATTTAAAAGAATGTTGTGGTCGATGGTATGAAATTCAGCACTAAGATCAAGTAACACTAATAGAGAGATACAACCACGGAAGATGGTTGGATGATAAGAGCTGATAAGAGCATCGGATGATAAGAGCAAATCATTTGTGACTCTAATGAGAGCAGTCTCAGTATTATGGTACGGTCTAAATCCGGACTGAAAATCCTCACAGATACCATTTCTTTCAAGAAAGAAACACAGTTGTGAGGATACTGCTTTTTCTAATATCTTTGACAGAAAAGGCAGATTCGAGGTCGGCCTGTAATTGACTGATTTTACATGATCAAGATGCGTTTTTTTTAACAAGCGGTTTAATCATAGCCAGCTTAAAGGTTTTTGGTAATATAGAGACAAAGGCGAATTAACGATCTTAAGAATAGGATCAGAAAGCATCTCTTTCAGCTTAAGTTGTCGATTTAGATGATTTAATGAGTTCGCAAAAATCATCCTCTCCTATAGCAACAAATGAGACATTTTTTTTTCCTCAGGGAGACTACAATGCACTCCCTGATGATACTGTAGTAGACATAGTTATATCGTTATAATTTTGTCCCTGATATTATCAATCTTATAAGTGAAGAAGTTCATAAAGTCATTACTGCTGTGTTGCCTAGAACTTTCTGGGCTTGAAGCTTTATTTTTTCGTTA